GAGTTTTGATATTTTGTGTCACACAATCATATGCAGATCAAGTAATCTGAGAAGTCTTGGACTTGAAGAGTGCATTCAAGTACCAGAGAAAGAACTAGCAAACGCAGTTGCAAAATTTCCATTTCTAGAAGAGCTTGAGGTCTTACGCTTATGGTCAATGCTGGACTTGAAAGTTATAGGTCATTTTTGTCCGCGGATAAAAACATTGAAGCTAAATTGCATATGTTACCCAGGCTCACGGTACGAATCTAATGATGAAGATGCCCTTGCACTTGCTGAAAGCATGCCCGAACTACGCCACCTCCAGCTTATTGGGAACAGACTAACTAACACCGGGTTAAACGCCATTCTTGACAACTGTCCTCACCTGGAAAACCTTGATTTACGCATGTGTATGAACTTCAACCTTTCCGGGGATCTTGAGAAGCAATGTTTGGAGAGGATCAAAGATTTTAGACGCCCCAACGATTCACTCGCTGATTATCCATATTATGCTGTTTTTTATGATACTGAGTCAAATGAAGACTTGGACAATGCATCATCAGATACCAAGTCAAATGATGACTTGGACAACGTATATGATACTGTTGAGTCCGATTATGACTTGGATACTAATGAGTCAGAAGATGACTTGGGCAACGTATATGATACTGAGTCAGATGATGACTTCGACAACGCAGTATATGACAGTGGTGACTATTTCTCAGGTGACAGCGAATTTAATTCGGACTAGAAATTCAATATTTTTGAACAGTGCAGAAATATGAAATTAGTTTTGGTGGTCTTGATTTTTTCGCTTGGAGTTTTTGTGTTTAGTTCGATTGTCTGTAAAAACTTGGATCAAATCTGATTTTGTTGAGTTTTAATGGATTGTATAATCTTTCGGCTCTACTTTGAACAATTAAAACGTTTTTTAGCAAGAGCTTACTATGTGAAAAGATTGAATGTGTATAATTCTATGCACGAACATAAATATTCTTTTATATAATATGTGTTTCTATTATTATTTATATGAATTTTATATTTTAATGTAATGATTTAATATTAATTTATAAAATATTTCTTCAAATTTGAACAAATTTATTATTTTCGTTTTTTCTCCCAATTATTACAATAAAACAAATTTGGAGTGAGCAATCTTACTTTATAGTAGAACATAACATCAAATTATATTAAATAACGATTTGACTTATATAAATTAAAACGCAAATGACATATGTTTC